AAATTATCATCCCTTACTTTTACCTTACCTACGCCTCTCTCTCTATCCCACCAAAATAGGGGTTCCACTAAGCTCGGTCTGGCAGTAGGGCTTCGGCATTGTGTAAAGTGCGGTTCGGCAATAGGGCTCTGGCACCGTGTAAAGTGCAGTCCAGCAGTAGGGCTCCGGCTGTATAAAGTGCGGTCCGGCGATAGGGCTCTGGCACCGTGTAAAGTGTGGTCCGACAGTAGGGCTCCGGCAGTTGCAAAGGGCGGTCTGACAGTTGCGAAGGGCGTCCGGCAATTACAAAGGGCGGTCCGGCAGTTGCAAAGGTTGGTCTGACAGTTGCAAAGGGCGGTCCAGCAGTACTCAGTTTCGGTCCGGGAGTTGTCTTAGGACGGTCCGGTACTTGTGCACTTTGGCAATGTGATGGTGCACTCCCGTAATGTGCTACTAGGGTCCAAAAGTCAACGTCAAATTGGCCAAAATGATTTTTGTGTATGGGAAGGGCATTTCCATCTAAATAAATGAACTTGTTCCCTTGGGAGGTATTTGCATAAAAAGTTTGTTTGGGAAAAAAGTTAGAGAAAAAACTAACTTGGGGGTAAGTTGCATAGAAAGTGTGGCTTTGGGGGTATTTTATAATTTTTTCTTAATAATATTAATATTATGTATGGGTGTGTTGTGTAAATTTGCAACCTTAAACAATCCAATTAAGACGCACCTCCAAATTTTATTATAACATGTAATTTTGGTGTAAAAAATTACTAGGATTATCTAGAAAATTTACTTTCATCTTTAATTATAAAATTTTAAACTCCAAAGATGGTTACTATCAAGTAGTATTATAAACATATGAAAATCTTGAAAATGGATGGTCTAGATATTATAAGGTGCTATTTCTAAGACTCAAAATCTTTTTCTTCTTTTTTTTCATATTCGTACATCTCGATGTCAAGATAATCAATTAGTGGGTTTTTCAACATTAAAACAATTTTTTCGATGGATTTTTGACGTGCATCTTTAATTCTATATTTTAAAGTTGCAACCTTATATAAACTTTTTCCATTATGTATTATATTGTACTAATATACATTATCTAATATTATATAACATACTATAATATGAAATAATATATTATTTCTATAAAATATTATTTAAAATATATTAAATATTATTAAAATATATTTTATATATTAAATAAATAAATAAAATATTATATAATACATATTATAGTGTAAATAGTGAATAGTAATCACCAGAAGCAACAATTGACAAAAATGTTCGGAGAATTTGAGTTCCTAGGGGGCGGATAGAATTTTAACTTTACCATTTAAAAAGAGAAAGGGAACTTTGTTATAAAACTTAAATTTTCAATACTGTAGCAATTCCTAATGTGGAAGTGCTATAGTATTCCCATAATGTTATCTTTCTAGACCCGAACGTTCTTGCAAACAAAAGGGAAAATAGAAAATTACATGCCCTGAATATGTGTAGATGATGATTCGTGAGAATTCTACTTAGCAAAATTCCTTTTTTTTTTTTTTTTGCTTATAAGCAAATTAACTCTGAAGTTCAAAAAAAAAAAATTTAATACCCTTATTGTTGAGATTTAAGAACCCTCTCAAATACGAAAACAATAGCATATATTGACCAGTTAGAAACAAAATCAGCGAGATTATAAACCAAGAAATAAAGCATAAACACCCACCCCATAGTAATACAAATTTTAAATAGTTCACTCAAATGGGATACATCCACAGGCATGACAAATATAAATCCACTATCCCAAGTTATATCATAGATCCTGTGATACCGATTTACCTCTCTAGCCCACAAAAAAAAACTAGTTGAGCAACCCCTTTAGATCAGCTCTCTCAATTAAATATTATCCAGGAAGAGAACATTGAGAGCGCAATTAAATATTATCCAAGAAGAGAACATTGAAAGCACCCGAAAGTTTTGCTCACTAAAACAACTCAACATTTATGGGTATTGCTTCTTTACACGAAGCCAATCTCTCACTCTACACATGCATCATCACGACGTTTTTTTTCTATAGGAAGCCCACTTCTTTAATACAAAGGACTCCGGCCTTTCTCTTTAGAGGAAGACACATTTCTCTGGTGGTGGCCCGAATAGGGCCACATATTCATTCCTCTGTCGTATATCTCAAAGCCAAAAGATATATAATTATGAGTTATAATCTTATCAAATTTATATTTTCTTTATAAAACTTCTCAATATCAATTTCAATAACAATCATAAGGTTTCCTTAGGGGGTTGATTTCAAATATCACTATATCCAACACTCGTATAACCCATTTCAAGTTGATTTTAGCAAACAGGGAACCGTTCAGGAAAATTTTCAAAAACATTCTATTTTATTATCAAAATTAAAAAATAGTCCTCCATATTTTATATTTTACATTCAAGCCCAAATTTTTAAGAGTGTGTATTAGACTTTGATTTTATTTTCTTTTCTATACGTTAGATTGAGATTATATTTACGGAGTTGATACTTATCACTATCTCATATTTGTAAAAAAAATACCAAAAATATTAAATGACTAAAATACCTTGGAATTTTGAGATTTATTGGGGTATTTTGATCTTTTTATTTAACTTAATTATAGTTTTTAAATATTTTTAACAAGTTATAGTGAGAAGTATGGATGCTCAAAATTTGAGATCGAACAGATGCCTAGAAGAACGAATAAAAACTAGAATATAACGTTCACTATAGGAAATGAGATTTAAGTGTAAAAGATAAAATAGGTGAAATTATTTTTAATTTCAAAAATAAAAGGGGATTTTCTGATAATTTCACGAACCTTAATAAACACAGCATCATGCAAGAGATCATGGAAAATCTTTGAAAGCTATTATCATCCTTTATATTTCTATAGTTAATTTCTCTAGGAAAAAGTTTATATACATGCGAGGCTCTAAACAATCAAATTAGGGTGCACCTCAAAAATTTCACTAGAAGAGGTCGTTTTGATGCCCAAATATCATCAAATTGATCATCAAGATGCATAGACATGAGAAAAAAATGGATTTCAACTTTTGGAAATAATGCATCTTGTATTACATTTTTTGACAGTCAATCTCAAGATTTTTCAAGTTTTCATAAATATGCTCAATCTACACTATTTTTGAAGCATTAAGTTTTATAATTAGAGATGAAAAAATATTTTAAGGCTTTCACAAACATTATTGAAACTATATTTCTCGATACTATTTGAAGGTACGCTTTATTTTGATTGTTTAGAGCCTCGGCTCTATACAAATCGCACCCATTTTCCTATGTTATTGTCATATACTTTTCTTATGAACTGATTCATAGTCAGGCAGTATTTTTTTCAGAAAAATACATGAAAATTTTTAACAAGAGAGAAAAGTATTGAGGAAAAATCTCTTGCCTTGAAAATTCCCATTTTCCTATGTTATTATCATATACTTTTCTTATGAACTGATTCATATTCAGGCAGTATTTTTTTCAGAAAAGTACATGAAAAATTTAAACAACAAGAGAGAAAATTATTAAGGAAAAATCTCTTGCCTTGAAAAATAAAGAGCATAGCCACTACCTGGATTTTCCAAACATCCCTGTCTTGTTTGAGTTAGCTCTCTAGTTTTCTCAATTTTCTTATGAACTGATTCATATTCAGGCAGTATATTTTTCAGAAAAATACATGAAAAATTTAAACAACAAGAGGGAAAATTATTGAGGAAAAATCTCTTGCCTTGAAAAATAACGAGCATAGCCACTACTTGGATTTTCCAAACATCCCTGTCTTGTTTGAGTTAGCTCTCTAATTTTCTCAATCCCCTTAACTTTGCCAGGTTAGCTATGAAAATAAGCTTCTTCTTTTTTTGTGAGTCCGTGGGGAGAGGGGCCCTACCCTTGCTAGGAATTGACCCTGGGACATGTAGTGTTGCAAATTGTCAAGCGCAAATCAATTAAACATGGGCTCTTTTTCTACGAAAATAAGCTTTATCATCACTGAATCAACTTTATTAGAAATCACTTAATCAACTTTATCAGAAAGCCACTTTCAACCAAACCACTCGAGAAGTGATTCTATTCCGAGATCATGTACCCACCTTTCATTTGTAGACAAGTTCATTCAAGAAAACTTTCGAAAAGCAACAAGATTTAAGAGAAGAATTTAAGAACTGAATCATAATCATTCGATCTCTTTCCCCTAAAAGTGGATGCAACAAAGATATGGCATTTTCAATGTGTCACCTTTCCACTAACTAAAACATTCTACCCATTAGATTAATCTTTGAAAGATAGTAGGGATTATTTATTTTTAACTTTAATCATGACTTGTAATCCCTTTAAGCGCATTTAAAGGCCCCTAAACTTACCCTAGCTTCCAATCACACTTTGCACGTTTACAAACTTTACAACTCTCTGATGCTGATGTAACCCAGTGTTACTGGTATCACACCGACCTATGAAGCACTCTAGATTCTCTTCCACTAAAACCGGTCCAACCACTGGTTATATTGGTACGACCATATTATAACATAGTGAAAAAATAAGAATAGATTAAAATATTAAATATATATTAAAAATAAAACATATTAAAACATTGCCCTTGTTTGACGTATTCAACACATCAAAGCCACCTGATAAGATCAGTCAAAATGGATCTAGTATTAGTTTTCGTTGGTTCTCAACTAAACAAAATTTTTGATTTAAACTAAACTGGCCAAGACACAGGCCAGTAATTTGATTATTTGGACTGGCTGCTCCGACCCCGCCGTTGCAAATATGGAGTTAACCACCTCCAATCTCTTTCAAACCCCCAATAAACGAATGTTACAGTACTGTTAGAGAAGGTCCAAACCAGCATACTGGCTTGTTATTGAACTTAATTCTTCCAGGTTTTTCAAACATTTTGCAGCGAAGTCACGGATGATTTGCTTATGGTTTCTCTTAGATTGACTATAATTGCTTACAACATATAATTAAGCTCAAGTTCGAATGTTCAAAAGATAAGAAAGAAATAAGACTAAGTTTCTCTCAATTTTGCAATAACAACAATAACAAGCACTTCAAAGTTCTCATAAATACAACTCACTACATAAAGCAAGCAATGCAACAGCCCCCACCAAAGAGGCAGGAATGATACAAAAACAAATTCCTGACCCCCCAAAACAAGACCTCAACCATACAATACAAGCCAACCCAAGGTGGTACAAAAATAGAATAAATAATAAAAATGAATACTATATTACACAAAACTGCATAGCCTTTTAAGTTCGACCTTTTAATACTAGCTAGTACCGCTTACCAAGAATGATACCCACAATAATAGAAACAAATGCCACTCCCAGTATGAACTTGAAGTTCATGCCCGATGGTTCGATGGTCTTTGTAGATGCTGCTTCAGCACGTCTCTTACTCTTCTTCTTTGAAGGAGATGAAACAGTTGATCCAATATCTCTAGATTTCACCTCAACAGTATCCTTCAATTCTAATCCAATCTCTCTATATTTGACCTCAAGAGAATTCTTCACGTCTGCCTTCTGGATGTCTACAGTCCCCTGCAATAGTTCACAACCATAGGAAATAAATCAGTTTACTCTCTCTCTATCTCTCTCTCTCTCACACACACACTCACACACAATACCTGCATACACACTTTAAGGCAGGGTGGAGATACTTACACACCATTGAGGCTCATATCAAAACAATAGATTTATAATAGCTCGGCCACAAAAAGAACTCACATTTGCCACTAGAAAATCACATGAACTACCCTTACCCGAAACCAAAAGTAATTGCATTAAAGTGAAGCATTCTAGGACCATAGATTTTTTTAAATATGACACATTATGTACGTAACCAAATCCCAGAATCGACATACTTGTGCACCATTGAGGCTCATGTCCAACAATGAATTGGTGATAGCTCAACTACAAAAAGAACTCACATTTGCCACTAAAAAATCACATAAATGACCCTTTCCCAAAACCAAGTAATTGCATTAAAGTGAAGCATTCTAGACCCATAGATTTTGAAATATGTCACCCTATGTATATAACCAAATTCCAGTACCATATTAACCAGATGAAGAAGGCAGTACTGACTAGGTCCATTTAAACAATTATCTTTTGATTAAGAAGGAATAGAAATTGTAATCTCAAGAAAATTAGAAAGAACTCTTGCCTTGTCCTCTAACTTTGCGTTAGCCAGTTGGAGTTTGCTCTCAAGCACTGATATCTTATTTTCTAAACCTGCAGCCTCACTCAATTTTTTCTTCAAATCTTCCACCTCCGCATTCACAACTGCCAGATTTTCCCCTGATTTGGCACCCTGGCATATTAACAATACTCAAGTTCAGGTGCATTCCACATGAATTCTTTGTTCCCAAAAAGAAAACACCAGCTCCTTGGAAATAGCTATCCATAGTAAAAAGAATGTGAATAGTTCAGTTCTATTTTGCCTTCAAAGTGTTCTCAGGAAAATTGAGGGGTTTTTAAGTTGCTACCACAAAAATTAACAGTGTTTTATGGATTTTATGGAATAAAAAATTTACCTGTTCATTTAATGATGCTTCTGCCTGTTGTAGCTTCTGCTGAAGTTCTTCAACTTGTTTCAAAGCACCTACTCTTTCAACTTCTTTAGTTGATTCAATCTCTTTCTGTAACATGATACATATATATTTCATAAGAAACTCCAGTAAAAAGTTACAGAAAGATAAGTTGACATACAAATGAGAACTTTTATTTTTCATATAAGCAAACTGTGAAATGCTTTTTACTGGGACCAATAT